CATACTCTGTAAGCTTCTGTGCATACATAAAATCTGATTCAGGATTAAAGGGCAATTTTTGCTTTAAAGCACATTTTGATTCAATTCCTTAAATCAAGAGTTTGCCATAAAACATAAATTGACTGCGTAATTCTGCTTTCCTTGGTACTGAATCTCTGTGTTAGCATTAGGTAAATGCAGCCATGAATTGAAGTGGCTTTTTTTATTATTATTAAGGTTAAATTTTCATCACGAGTGTAAGAAAGCAGCTATTTGTCAAAGTTTCCGTTAGTGTTTGGAGAAGTTACGGTAACTGGTTTTTAAGGGAAATGGTAAATGTTTTTGATAATAAGGTCCAAGTCTTTTTATTCAAGCCTATGTATTTATTTAGCATATAGCATAACATACGTGGACTTACAACATACATTGACATGTCACCTAAAATATAAATAAATAAAATAAAATAAAACATGAATGTTAAAAAGATCTATATTCAGATACCAATGTCTAGGCCGTTAACCATTGAGCACAGGATTGTTTATCTGAAAAAAAGTCAGATATTGTACCAGTATATGCCCTCAGCTCTCAGCTGGCCACAATGTGATTTACAGTTTGACGTGGACCCCACAGTCACACTGAGGGGAGGATGCGATACCCCATTTATACACAAAATCCTGGTAGACGCCATGTGAGGTGCAAATCCTGTTCAGGATTTTCCACTGCTGGCGAGGTAGTTCAAAACCTGGCACTTTGGCATGGGGTCATCTATATGTCGTTCTATGTCTGGGTGTTCAGCAACCCATTTGGCTTTCCACTAGGAATCGATGTTAAAGTTGTTAAGCAGATGTTGTGCACGTGCCAGTAGTGGCTTCTTAGATTTGAGCCTTCCAACTGATAAATGGGGACGGTCAGTGTGCTCTAGTAGGAGAAAGTTGTTCATACGTTTCCTGCATTCTCTCACTAGTGCAGGGGTAGGCAACCTTGGCTCTTTTATGACTCGTGGACTTCAACTCCCAGAATTCCTGAACCAGCCATGCTGGCTCAGAAATTCTGGGAGTTGAAGTCCACGAGTCATAAAAGAGCCAAGGTTGCCTACCCCCGCACTAGTGCATCTTGCCTTCGCAGAGCTGGCAGTGCCCTGTGGCTCAGAACAGGAAGCCAGCAAATAGGAGTGGTTTTAATACATCCGCTTATCCTTGTGGTGTCATGCTTACTAGTATGGCGACTGTTAAGCCATACAGGGGCACGGTATTCTGCTGCAGAGTAGACCGGCTCTAGTGCTGTTGTTCTGAGGGTGACAGCTGAAGGTCCCCATTTGGTTCTGCTTAATTTCTGGAGGATGTCCCTAGTGTTGATTTTTGCCACCATATTCTCCAGATGTGTTTTATAGGAGAGAGTCGGCTCCAAATTATAGCTATCAAAGCTATGCAATGATTAAAATAAAACTTGGAAAAAGTTGTACTGATGAAATACTATTGCCTCAACTACTATTTATTTGGTCTTTGATACTGATATTTGCTTTAATTCTAATAACGTTGAAGTTCCCTGCTTGGGCCTTCTTTATTGTTTTTATTGGTTTATATAGGGCAGTGATGGCGAACCTTTTAGAGACCGAGTGCCCAAAAACCACCTCGCCCCTGCCCCGTCCCCGTGTCTCCTACCCGCAGAGCCACCCACCACCTCCACAACCCGCCATAGCAGACCGCCCAGGCGGCCCAGCAGCGTCATGGCCATGCCCTCTGTCTGCGCCCCGCAGCATCATCTGTACGCGATGGGGCGCAAGGGTGGAGTCTTCTCCCCGCTGCCCAGCTGCCATGTCCTTGGTTGTGCTGTTGTGCACAGGCTGCGCCCGGGGCAACTCTCCTCTGGGGGGGCTGTTGGTGAGGAAGGGGCCACAAGGGGGGGGCTGGGGCGATGGCATGCGTGCCCACAGAGAGGGCTCTGAGTGCCGCCTCTGGCACCCGTGCTATAGGTTCGCCACCACTGATATAGGGAACAGACTCCTGTAGGATTTAAGAGAATTATGTTTGCCAGCCACACTGGAGTTGCTGGTTCTCTGAGCATGGTTGTTTGGTTGAAAATGTTTTGTTATCCAACTAGCTTATATCTTCAATACTAGAAGGGAGTGGCATTTGCTTTCTGTTTATATAAAGTAGTTTTCCCTGTCAGTGCTGGTGGGGCATTCTTTTCTCCTTGTAATTTTTTGATGAGGCAGTTCACTCCTTGATTATCTGTTTGGTGTTAATCTGGGTGTTAATCCCTTCTTATCTGGATGTTAATTGCTGGTGAGGAGATGTTCTGGTCTTTATGTTTATTTTTAGCTTTTTTATTGTCTGTTTTGAATGGAGTTAAATATTGTTTCATTAAGGTTCCAGGAATTCCCAACCATTTTTGGATTTAGTTGGTCTCAGATGCTCACAGTTTCCCAATTAAAACTAGGATTAAGTTGGTTATAGTTAAGTATGATATAGTTACGGTATGATTCAAAGAGCCATAAAGACTCCACAATTCAACCTCAAACTTATATATCCTATTGGCAGGTAGACTGTGGTAAATAAACTGTTAACCTAACCTAATAAAGTCCTACTGCAAAAAATATATATAAAACCTTTTTCAAATGCCAGTTTTATAGCAAGGTTATATAAAAGTTGCTTTGAGATCTTAGAGAACGTGAAGTAGAATTTTCTAATCAAGCTAATATAGAAGATGTACTGTTTGCAAAGTATGTCCATTACAACTATGTTTAATTTTCCAGGAAGATGTGGAAACAGGGCTTCATATTGATCCAACCACCAAGGAAGTTCAATATAATCCGAAGTATGACACCATGTTTGCACCAGAGGTAAGTAAATTAGCTTTTTAACATGAATTGCTTTCAATTTATCATAAAACCACAGACGTAGAAGAGGGTCTGGAGATCATTCCAGTCCAATCCTGCTCAGTGAAGAAATTTGCTGTTCCCTCCTATTATTTATCCACCACCTTCAGAGTATTTCATTGTTTAAAGGCTCTGACTTTTAGGATGTTTTTTCTGGTATCTTACCAAAATCCACTTCTGTATAGGTTAAACCCATTGATCCTGTCCTGGTTTCTGAATCTACTATGAACAATTCGTCCCATCTTCTACATGACAGCTGTTCAGATAATTAAAGACAGTTGTCATGTCTCCCCCCCCCCCATTCTTCTCTTCTCTGTACTCCAACTGTTCTTATAAATTTTCTTTCCATCCTCCTTATCACCTGTCCTTTGGACATGCTACAGTTTGTCTGTGCCTTTTTTTAAATGCAGTGGGCAGAATTAGACACGATATTCTCCATCTCCGTGCTGAGAAAAGGCGTTCAGGTAAGACAACGCCCCTTTTAACTGCAACACAGTATAGAAATGAACTATGACTTTTTAAGCTTGATACTATAATATTAGCTGATATTGTTCAATAAGATGTGGAAAAGTACTGTTAATTATTAAATAATGTATATACAGTTTTGTAACATCACCTACTGTATTTAAGTATGATTGATTCCTTCTTCAGCTAGAAAGTAGTTGAAGAAATTATAATTTTAAAATTGAGGCTGGAAATTAGGTCTTTATTTTATAACTGTTCAGTACACTAAATCAGTGGTTCTCAACCTTTTTAATGCCGTGACCCCAACCGGTCGCAAGTCGAGGACTAAACCGGTCGTAAGTCGAGGACTAAACCGGTCGTAAGTCGAGGACTTTCCCTGCCCGGGAGCACTGCGCATGCGTGGTTCTGCCCCCTGCGCCGGCCGAGGCGTAGCTGGCAAGCGGCAGAGACAGAGCAGGGCGACCACCAGCTGGCCCAGCTCAAGGGAGGTAAGGCACCCGCTGAAAAAGGGGGAAAAAATGGCGGACAAAAAAAATGGCGGACAGCCTTGCTTGGCGACCCCCATGAAATGGTCGATCGACCCCAAATGGGGTCCCGACCCACAGGTTGAGAACCACTGCACTAAATGCTACACCAAAATGAATAATAAAAATAATTACAATATTTAATAGAGCTTGAACTAGGAAACGGGCAAATCTTTCTCCTTAAAAATATTTTTTTCTAACTAAAAACTCAGATTTCAGATAATTAGAATAGGTTAACATTTCAGAAAAAGCATATAGTTGAAAGGTACCTGAGAAAACACCTAGTCCAAATCCCTGCTTGGTGTAAGATTCTTAAGCACTTTGGACAGCCATCCAGCCTCTGTTTGAAAATCTCCCGTGAAAGAGAACATGCTACATATTCAGGCAACCTATTCTGTTTGACAGCCCTTACTGTCAGGAAATTTCTCCCAATATCTATCTTGAATCTACTCTGTAGTTTTATTCCATTGGTGTTGGTACTACCCTTTTTGGAGCAACAGAGAACAAGTGTATTCCTCCTATATATAGCAGCCTTTTGGATATCTAAAAATTGCTAACATATCTCCCCTCAGACCGTTTTTCTGCAGATTTTATTTGTTTCTTGTTTTTGTACAATACCGTTTCTTAAAACTGGAAATAATAAAGCTAAATAACGGAGTTTGTGTATATAAAATACATCTGGTCTGTTTACAATACTCTAGTTATTTCACTTTTCACTTGGAAATAGTAGACAAGATGTAGAGAAAAGAATGATCTTATTCATAGCTTTATAATCTCATAGCCAGATGTTACTTTTACTTTTTTCTCTTGCATTTATGAAATTACACAGTAGGTGAAGTATTGGGGAACTCTCTATTTTATCTTTATCTTTTTATCAATTAAATGCTAGATCTGTACCCTTGAAGAATGCTAATTTTATCAACAGATGAGAAAGCAGTGTTAATTCTCAAGGATTCTTGGTGTGATCAGTTAAGAAATGCACTGAACTGATGCATTGAAGATATGTCTAATAAATCCCCATATTTAATGTGTTTTTGTGAGTTTCATAAATGCCATATTTTTGTAATAATCATATTCTGTAATAAATAATAATATTTCCTGGCAAAAAGCAGCACTATTCCTTATATTTGCAATCCTTTTTCTTCTTAAATCCTACAAAAAATAAACAGTATGGGAAGAAAATTTGAATACAAATTTTTGCTATGTAAAAGCTCTCAAATACCCAGATTAATTTTTTTAAACATCATCAAATTGAATATTCCTCAGAAAAAAAAAATCTCCAGGAAAAAGTAGCTACCATATGTATAGATAATCCTTGACTTATAACCAGTTGCTTAGTGATGGTTTGAAGTTATGGTGGACCCCCCAAAAGGTACTTATGTACATCCGGGTTGTGGGGGGATGCAGTCACATGATTGCATTTTATGGCCATTTGCAGTGTCCTGCAGTCAGATGAACATGATTTATGACACTTGTTTGCCGGAAACCATTGTTTACTTTTGGACAATGGGTTCACTTAACAACCACAGTGTTTGCTTTACAGCAGACATGTCAAACACAAGGCCCGGGGGCCAGATGCGGCCCACAACGTGGTTTCATGTGGCCCGCGAAGCCAACCTGGAAACAGTGAGGGAACGGCCCCCCAGGCCGGCCGGGAGCCAATGTACAATTTTGTGGTGGCCATGTATGCTGAAACACATTCAGTCTTAGCTCCACAAGGCCGTCTAGAAACAGCGAGGAACCAGCTCCTGCTGTGTTGGCCCCGTCCCCTGAGTGCATGCTGGGGAAGTGTCACCCTTTGTGAGGAATGAAGAAATGCACCATGCCTTGGTGCTTGCCCCGGTCCCACCCCTTTCTGCCAGAGACCCTCAGATTTGTCCCGCTCCTGCCCAGGCCCCCACAGGCACCCTTGACGCAAACGATGTAGAGCTGGCCATGCCCACCCAGTAGGCCACACCCACTCCATCCACGCCCACCCAGTAGGCCGCACCCACCCGGCCCCCCGAGGGCAACCGCAATGCTGATGCGGCCCTCAATGAAACTGAGTTTGACACCCCTGCTTTACAGCCACATTTGCGTAACTACCACTGATCGCCACATAAAAGTTCATAAAATTGGGCATAGTAACATGACGATTCGTTTAACCATCAGCACGACCTTAATTCTGAACAAGTTATGGCTGTAAATCAAGACTATCTGTATACAAATTCATTTGTCTCAATGTAAATAGCTATCAGTGGTGAAAGCATGGCTGTCAAAACTCAAAACGGTTATTTTTTTGTACATTTAATGCATTTTTTTGAGATATTGCTGATCTGCATTCCCAAAAATAAACAGTATGAAAAATTTATATTAAATGTAAAATGTACAAAAATTTGCTCTGCTTTTTGCTTGTTAAGAATATCTATTATTTGATTAGTTTGATCTTAGATTTATTTAAACATGAGGGAGTAGGGAAATGATTCAAAATGCAAAACATATCTGATGTCTCCAGGGGATGAGGAAATAATACATGAAATGAATCTCATTAAGTATTGCAGTTTTGACTTTTTTGTCAGGTGGCTTAAGATTCATATAGTGGGCATCTCTGCGGGTAGAATAACTGCCTTATATTAATAGCTGTAGTTAATTTATGAAGAATATATACACCTTTCATCTGATCAGTGCTTTTGCACTCTATTATTGCCTGCTTTTCTCACTGAATTTCTCCCTCGAAATTGTGCACAGCTTTAGTAGAATGGAATATAATATAGCCAGATTCTTATCTGCAGACATATATGCCTGTCTCTGGTGGATAAAGGGCTTTCCAGAACTGATTTAGATGCATACAATAGGGGTAGGATAGTATGAAGAAGATTGCCATTGCATAAACAGAAAGTAACATTGAATGTAATATCTTAGTCCCAACATGAAGATAACGTGCAATCTAAACATTATAATGCAATCAATTAAATATTGAATGAAGTCTGATAGGGTTAGAATCAGAATGGTGAAGAGTGGAACTCTAAATTGCTCTCACCTACAGATGATGGGAATGTGGTGACTTCTGCAGATTCTACTTCTCTCTTGCAGTGATCTATCACCAGGGCTGGAGGTATTGAAAAATGTGTTATGTCTTAGCACGGTTCACAGGAAAAAAAAAATCAGTTAAAGCTTTCATCAGAAAGCACAGAAAATAAGAATTCCTTCCATCTTGATTCAGACCACCCTATTGAGGCAAAAATAGGAAATCCATAGTAACTAAAACTCTTGAGACAGCCCAGAGATAACATATAATGAATTCCTCCCTGGCTCTATAGCAATTATATTTAGCTATAAAGTACTCCAATTTGTAAGTTTTGGAACATTGTTAGAGAATGTGGGGTATATTTGGAATAAAACTTAACAACTCTAATGCTACAGTGTGGTTAAGAATAAATTGGAGGGGGAATTTCTGGTCCCTGCTTTCAATTTTTTTAACTTTGAGGGAATGGAAAACTTTGCATCTGTCTGCTTTTTTTCCAGTTTAATTTTCTTGATGCTGCTATTTTGGATAAAGCGTCTCGAAATGAGGGCAAAATTATTGAACTGTGGCTTTTAATATAATTTTGTTGTATACAGTTGACATATTCTTCTGAAGGTAGCTTATTGATGCCATTTCCACTTTGACTGATTATTTAGCAGTCATCATTGCTCTATATAAAGCAGTGGTTCTCAACCTGTGGGTCGGGACCCCATTTGGGGTCGATCGACCATTTCACGGGGGTCGCCAAGCAAGGCTGTCCGCCATTTTTTTGTCCGCCATTTTTTTCCCTTTTCCGGCGGGTGCCTTACCTCCCTTGGGCTGGGCCAGCTGGTGGTCGGCCTGCTCCGTCTCTGCCGCTTGCCAGCTACGCCTCGGCCGGCGCAGGGGGCGGAACCACGCATGTGCGGCGCTCCCAGGCAGGGAAAGTCCTCGACTTATGACCGGTTGGGTAGTCCTCAACTTACGACCAGTTTAGTCCTCGACTTACGACCAGTTGGGGTCGCAGCATTAAAAAGGTTGAGAACCACTGATATAAAGCATACAAATCACATAAATTCAAATATGTAACAGCTTTGCTTATATGAGATGGCAGATTTCTATGAATGAATTTGGAAACCATTGCAAATATTTGGTTTTTGACCCTCACATTAATAGATACACAAATAGATGTATGTCTTTTCCATACTAAAGCTTAGCAGGATAGGCAATGGTGACCCTCCTGATAGTAGACTAAATGTCACATCTTCTATGACCAGTGGACAAATCCGCTGAAGTTGCTAGTTGAGTTCAGTAATGCCTGGAAACTGCTAACCCGTTGTCTACAAAACTAATTTCAGATCATGGTAGTATGTTACATTACAATTGTTGAATCTGAGGTTCAAATGCCCACTTGTGAAGGCTCAGTAATGATCTTAGGCAATCATTCTTCTAATCTGACTTTACTGAATTATTGCGAGGATAGACTCGTGCATGTTGCGTTGAGTTTTTTGAATGAAAGATAAGACATAGATGTAATAAATGTTTGAACACGGATATCTCTGTAAATAAAATGCCATATATGAAGCAAATCTTATTAAACCTTTTATTCTACTGTTTTTAATGCAGTTTGGGCCAGTCAATCCATTTAGGACTCAACAGATGGCCGCTCCCAGGAACATGCTTTCTGGATACACGGAACCAGCACATATCAATGATTTCATGTTTGAACAACAGAGAAGAACATTTGCAACTTATGGTAATGTGTGTGTATGTTTCTTTATATTCGAACCTATTAAAAATTGTTATGCTTATTAATGCCATGCTCTATTATAACCTCCAAACTTCTTAGACCCTCCAAAGCTTTAAAAATAAAAAGTGTCCATTGGTCTTTCTGGCAAGTAGTAAGAGTTTGAAGTGTTTGTTGATAATTGGAAAATGTTCAGAAAACATCTAGGCTTAAATTATTGTTTATTTAATTGAATTTCCTATTTACCTTTTTGTTTATTAAAGCTTTCATAATATTAATTTCAGTTCTATAATCCCCGAAAGAGTAGTTAATCAGTATTGAAATATTGCTCATAATATATACAGCTCTGCAACATGTCTGCAATAATCTTCATTGTGTAGAAAAGATTATGATGAAATAAACATAACATTTCTGGTTGGATGTAAATGTTCACTTTTGTACCACTTATTCAACAAACTATTTTATTACTGTGCATCGTTTCCATCCAACTTTGCCTTCAATCTTTCCCTGGAGGATTAAATGGAGTATGCCGTATTTTTCTGGGTGTCGCATCACATGTCCGAAATATTCTAATTTTCATTTTTTAATTGTTTTGATTATTTCCCTTGGCTTTCCCAGGCGGCTTATCACCACCTCATTTCTGATCTTGTCAACCCAGCTTATGCGTAACAGCCGCCTGTAAATCCACCTTTCAAATGCTTCTAGTCTCTTCAGGTGGCCTTCTGTCAGAGACCAACTCTACTCCATAGAGCAGGATAGAAAAAATATAGCATATATATTCTGGAGGTAAAGAGTTGAATATTACTCTGGGGGAAAAACTAAGCAATAGTCTAGCAATTGGATTTCTCAGTTTTCAGCAGTAGCAAAGAATGTCTCCGATAAAAGAATTTGCCAAATGCTAGGAGTTAGAGAAGGCATCTTCTCTGTCTCCAAGAATCCAAGCTTCTCTGCACAGGAATGTGCTCCTACCTCAACATTGCAAGAATTGGACAAAGGCATCATTGTTCAGTTACATCAAGCTATTAAAATAAACTTAAAATGTTGGCAGCCAGAGACCGCAGGAACTAATACATTTGATTCACCCAAATCCTGGGCTGTCTTCCAGGCCTATCTTTGTGGAACACTACTGATTGTAAAATAAAATATTGTAGATTGTAGGCAGAGGAGAAAAAGAGATCTGAGCTTTAATTTCTCTCCTGTTTTTTTGCACTTTGCTATTTGTGAGTATGTTAATTTATCTCAGAGACCATCAGAGCATGCTTTGACAATAATGTATTCAGACAGAAATTATTCTACGCCACTGAAAGAAGACACAGGATAGCAAATAAAATTTGTTTGTATTTGCATATTCCAAAGACAGGAAGGTGATATTTGTTGAGGAAATTCAATTAGTAAGATTTCTCTTGACAGATGATGATTGAGCAAAAGCAGGCCATTCCCCCCCCCCCCC